ATGTCTCTTCTCCTCCTCTCATCTATTTCTGCCCACCAGTCCACTTCTGGCCATAAAAACTTTCACAAAATATATTATCTTCCACTCCCAATATAATGCTTGGAGTTTGATGTACAGTGGATTGCTTCCTACTGGTCAAATGATACAGCTAAAGAAATGCTGGATTTCTAGTATTGCCAAATTTTATTTAACTAGGACAAAGTAAATGAGTCAAAGAAAGTTAATTCATTTTCACATTTGTGGTGTATTGTCTTGAGGAAGGAGAACAGTTAAGAAGTTCTCATTTCTGATAGATGGGGAACAGATACTAGCTGTTAAGATAGAAACTGTAAGGCAAAGGGCAGATCTCATTCAAAGCTGAGGTTACTGCAGCAGACACCTGGACATCCAACTCAACAGTTTACAACTACCCAACAAGAATAAGCCAAATGACTGAAAAAATGAAGACACAAAAGGAAGTTTTCAACAGCCATATCCATCTAAGGTTCCTAGAATGTTCTATCCCAGTATCAGGTATGGGAGATTAGGCAAAGAAGCTATTTACCATTTCTATATTTTCCTTTTTATCCACACCCCTGAATAACAGGCCTCTTTCCTTTTTTTTAATGTGTAGACTCAAGTCAAGACTCTAGAATTAATTACTATATGATATAATTATAGGGGTGTGACTATAGTTCAGAAGCTCTCCATATTTCATGATCATGGGTCCCTACTTCATTAAGAAACAGTCACACAGAAACAGCTTTCAACTTTGTGCCACAAAATCTATACACCCACAGAACCTACACCATCCTCTCTCTCTCCTCTTTCCTTGAATCGAAAAATCAAAGTGCCCTTTTACCTAACCTATGTTCCAGACTCAATCTCTTTTTATCTTCATGGAAAGCTGACACTAGAAATCATTTCCTCTATTTCTTAACACATTAACCACTCCCTGTCTACTCCGTTCCTTAAAAAAAACAAAAATAAAACAACACCTTTCCTGAAAATCTGCTCGAAAGCATTACCTACACTAGTCATCCCCCATCATACCCCATGCTATGCACACTGCTCCCACCAAGGTCACCAGCGGCCCCAAAATGGGCACTTTGCTGTCCTGCTCTCACTCAGCCAGCAGCAGGCATCATTGACCACTCAGATCTCACTGAGAGGCTCTCTCACCTTGGATCCCAAGAGCACACACTCGGAGTTTTCCTCCTACCTCACTGCTGCTGCTTCTCCAGCAAAGAAGACACGTAAGATGAGGAGATAAGAAAGCCATATCCAAGGAACAAAAGATGGGGAGATTTTCAACATTTGGGTTGCATCACACCAAGGTCGATATGCTCATTTCAAGGACCTCTGAACTCCCCTCTTACCTCCTGAAACACGAGCTCCTCTGCTTTGAGCCTCGCCATCATCTCCTGCTCCATCAGAGCTAGTTCTCTTTCACGCTCCAAGTCAATCATTTCCTTTTGTCTCTAGCATTGTTTAAAAAACAATATCACATGTCTAATTAGAGATAAAACAATTTGTAAAAACAATCTTGAAAGCACATTCATCACCAACAGTAGGGATAGGGTTTAGCAAATTATAGTCCATCCATTTGGAAACTTTAATAATTTGTGGAAATGTGTGTTTTATTTGAAAAAAAAGCACAAAATTATACGTTGACTATAATCACAATAATGGGAAAATCTACAGACAAATGTTAGAAAAAAAGACTAGAAGAAAATACCTAAAAATCTAAATAGAAGTTTTTGTATATTGTTTTCTTCTATTTTTTCATGTCCAAGTTTTTATATAATAAACATACTATTTTTATAATAAACAATATTGGACTTTTTTAAAAAAACAACAAATTGGATGAATTATTTTACTTTTCTAATTTTCTAAAAGAACATCCATACACACCTGTTGCTCCATGGTGACATTTTCCTTATACTTGTAAATCCACAATGCTAAATATTCTATTGGATCCACTGGGCGAACTCTTGCCACTTCTGCAAGACCTTGAGTTAAACATGTCCCAATATACTTCTGAAGATATATTGACTCCATTTCAAATTCCTAACTTTTAAAAAAATAAGTGTTTTTACATTAGTGAGCAGCAATTTTTTAAATTAAAGCGAAATAAAAGTAGAGTCCAGTGAGGCCAACAAGCATTGCATCCTGCCACCAGCTATGGGCAGCACCTCCCATCAGGGATGGCACAAGCTGGCTGCAGAAAACTTCTAATGGTTTCTTAAAAGGCTCCACAGAAGTCACAACTAAAATGCTTTGAAAATCCGAAAGAACCCTCAAGTCCAAGATTCAGAAAAGGGGTACTGTCCTTATTGATTGTAAGATGACTATATGCCAAGCAATGCATTATTTCAGTTAGTCCTCACAATATAATCTGAAGAATAGTTGTCATTATCCCCACTATGCAGATAAGAAGGATCAATTTAGGCATAAAGAGCATAAACTGAACAGTCCAAGATCACACATGCAGCACATGGTAGAGGTGGGATTCATACCAACTCTTAATTCCAGAGTCATTATCCTGACTGTAATAAGATGCTGCTCCCAAACCATGAATTATTTTTAGAAAACATCACAATAATTAACCTAAAAAAAGAGTCCATGCATCTCCAGGAGAAAGAATTAAAAAAAAATTCAACCTTCAAAGAATAGCATATGAGGCTCTTTACACTGTGGCACCAATTTTTTCAGGCTCAACTCCAGACATTTCTTCTGCCTCCAACATATCCTGGCTCTAGCTACACTGAACATCCTGCTATTCTGTTGATCACACCTTGCATGTTTTCATCTCCATGACTTTTGCACATGATCCCTATCTCTCAACTTCAAAAAAATCTCACCTGCAAGATATAGATCATCTCTCATTCTCTGAGCTTTCCCAGGCACTATAAAGAAGTTCCTCCTTTCCCCACAGCTCACACAGCACTTGTCCACTACCTGAGAATTACCTGAAAATAATGGCCTCCTAAAGTTCATCTGTAGACCTCAACACTGCTTGTTCTTATACGATGGTGAGAGTACTATAATCTCTATGAAGAAGAATTTGGCAATATCTAAAAAATTACCTATGTATTTATCCTTTGACCCATCAACTCAATTCAGGGATCCTACCTTCCAAAAATATGAAGTAATATTTGCATGTGGTTATTTGCACCACTACTTAGAATAGTCAAACTGAGCCCATTCAAGTGTTGGTCATTAAGGATTGATGAGATACAGCAACACAAATTACTGAGCAGAGACAGCAGGAAGATCTCTAAAACAGGGAGTGACCTCTAGGACAGTGGAGTGAAAAAAAGAAGGTGTGTGTGTGTGTGTGTGTGTGTGTGTGTGTGTGTGTGTGTGTGTGTGTGTGTATTTTCGGTTGTTGGTTTCCAGTATGTTGGTGTTCTGTAAATATCAGTAAACTGATTGAGATTTAGGCATTTGTTTACATGGTTTTGGTACTATATAGAAGCATAAAGGATGCACACCTATTTAATAAGCTTCAAGATATTATACTATAATAAAAACACTCATAAAATATATAGAACCATGCAAATTCTCTTAACTAAATATAAAAATGTTATATTTGTTGGTGTTCAGTTGTCTCATTCTCAGATCCTTAGGCACAATTTTGAAAAAATACTACAATTCATGTTACAATTAACAGAGACCTCACAATTTGTGTTCCTTTCATCCTCTTATGTTGGCAAAACCAAGTGGACATTAATATCTTCAGGATTTTCCTACTAAATGCTAGAAATATGCCACTTTGTTCTTGCTTTATTTTGTTTGTTTATTTAGTTTTCTTTTTGTTGGAATGGGAATATGGTTTTCTGATGTGATGGTGGNTCTAAAACCTGGCACAAAAGAACCTAATTCTTCATCAAGCTGGCACTGGTGTCTTAACCTCAGAGTGAAGATTTTCCAAACTGAGTTTGGAACACATGGTTTCACTTCTTCAGTGGGATATACTCCAAAGACAAAAATAACTAGATTGACATCTCAATGTTATCTGAAGAGGAGTAACATAAAAAAGGGTACAGATTACTGCTGCTATTCCAAAAAAAAAAAAAAATACATGGGAAGGGACCGTAGTTTCTAAGGCAGAAAACCTCTGACCTAAGAGTAGCACCCGGCGGAGGGTCGTCTCAAATCTGCAGGCGCTGCATCTCATTAGCGGAATCCGGGGTCCTGAAGCTCATTACCTCGCTTGCTACCTGTCCATAAAGTAGCCATAATACCCACCTCACAAGGTGGTTTTAAAGAATGTTATTTTTCATATACACGAACAGGCAACTTGGCTCATCATAAGAAAGCCCCTTGCCCCGGAAACAGCTGCCTCAAACCTGGAGAAGTCATCACAAAAAAATAGAGGTCCCTAAGGCCATGCCTGGGAGAAAACCGGTCAACGGAATGGGAAAGGGGTCCGGGAAGGGTTGCCAGATTTAGCAAGTAAAAATACAGGATGCCCAGTTAAATAAGAATTTCAGATTAGCAGCGAATGATTGGTGTTCTCCTATACTTGTACTAAACCGTTATTCCTTATTTCTCTGAAATTAATGTTAAACTGGCTATCGCGTGTTGTATCCCGCAACCCTCGGTTCGGGGCGCTTCGGCTTGTTTTCCGGTCCCGGGTCGGCAGAAAGGTCTGCGGCCACACTCGCCCCTCCAGCCGGCGCGGCGCGGCTCAACCCTGAGGAGCCTGCCACAGACGCCCACCGAGCCCCCAGGCGCGGAACAGACCGAGCGGAGCCTGGGCGTCGCCGGAGCCCCACCCATTCACCCGGCCCAGCCGCCGGCGGCCAGAGCCCAGCCACGCCTGACCAACCTTTCCCCGACACGGCGCCTGCGTTCTCGGAGCGCACTCCCCGCGCCGGCGCCTACCGCCTACCCGCCAGGCGCGTCCCGTCGCTAGGCAACGAGCTCGCGCACCCTCCCGGCCTGAGCCGCTGCGCTGCAGGGAGGAAGCGCCGCTGGGGCGGGTGAGTGGAGGGCGTCCGCTGGGCGGGGTGCCAGGAGTGTGGGGAACACCTCGCTGCAGAGAGGAGGGGAGGCGAGCGTGGGTGGGCTGGAGGCGCGGCGAGGTGTG